CGGCGGCCGCAGCCCCCGAATGACTCCCGGAGCCCGAGGAGCCGCCACGGTCCTGGAGCCCCGCGGGGCTGCCCTGTCGCTTCACCCAGAACGTCCCTTCGATATGTCCGCTTCCCGGAATCTTTCTCCTAGGGCCGGGTCCTGTGCGCCTCAAGTCCTCTCTTCCAGATCCTCTTTCCCGGAGAAGCAGCAGAAATTCGAGGCTCGCCTGCCATGGCTCGAATCAACTACTTTCTTCGCCTACCTTAATGTTTTTCCACCCACGGAGAATGAAGACCAGCGCGCACGACCACCCCCAAATTTCAATAGCCTCAACCCCGATAAAAAGCCGTGATCCCATGCCTAAGTCCTAAAAATAAAAAATAAAAAATTTTAAAGCCACCCGTTCCTCCGACTCCAGCCTCAGATGTAACCCCAGGCCCCCAACTCCCGTCTCCAGCCCTCCGCTCTGGCCGGAGTGTAGATTCAATCCTAAACTACTCAGTAGCCCTTCAATCACGTTTCTGAAATGAGCCTGGACCCTATACCCCAAACTCCAGCCTGGCCCCAAACCCCTGCCCTAGCTCAGGGCCGATGCACCTCCGCTCCCAGCCCGGCCGCACTCCCACCCAGAGTCCGGGTCCCCCTGCCGCGCAGGCACATCTGAGACCGCGAAGGGGAAGCCCGCTCCGCTCGTTTCTTCCTCGGATTCGGGAGCTGGGAAAGCCCGCACACCTAACCCGAAAGAGACGCAAACTTTGTGCGACAGACTCCAGACCCTGCCCCATCGCCCTCGGCTTCCCATCCCCTCTTTTACGAACTCGTGCCAGGAGGACTCGATCCAGGAGGACTCCTAACTCCCAAACCGCGCAGTGGGCCCCACGCCTCCCCCACCTCACCAAGGACTCCCAACAACCCGCCAAAGCCCGTAACCCTACAAATTCTCTCTCCTTGCAGGGCCGGGGCCCCTAAACTGGCCCCGAGGATCCCAGTTTCCTGACTCCTGTTCCTAAGTCCCCCCGATCCTCCTGCAAAGCCCACTCGCCCAGGCCGGACGAGGCGGTGGCTCTGACTTCGGTCG